AACACACACACACACACACACACACAAGAGGGCTGTAATTTGACTGGAGAATCAGTAGCAATAGGGATGGAACCATGGCATCGTACGTATTCGTCAAATAAGTGTTTTTTTTGTATGTGACTACGCTCCTGGTCTTCTGCTGTAACTAATCAAATGTATTAACTTTTTACTTCATATTAGGCTATCTGGTCCTTTTCTTTCCCAGTTCCCCTCTTTCCCCACCCTCCTACAGGCTTGTCGGAGCAATGCCGCAAGCCTCGGAAGCAAAAATCGCTCAACATGGACCATTTGGGAAGGAACCTTCAATAATGGAGAAGGTAAGAACATTTAACTTAAATGCTATAAAAATAGTGGGAGCTTTTGTGCGTGTGAATGACTCTTGAGATGCGTGCATTGATAATATACTTAGCCATCCGACAGGGAATCAAAAATGTAATATTGTTATAGTCATCACAATTTTGATACGAAATGCGCAATTTATGTCATTAGTTTTGTCGCAGTAGGGTATTTTCTGTAGGGAGAATGTTTGTTTGGTTTTAAACGGAAGGAAATCAGTCATGTCGTGTATGTTTACATTTGAAAGTCTGCCCTTGATCTGTTGATCTAACTGAATCTTGGGTAGCAACAGCAGAATATCTCCCAAACTATAAGTATGAAAGATGATAGAATGCTGGAAATACTCGAGACCATGCAGCAACATGGTCCCCAAGAGAGGAACAAATTTTAACGTTTCTGGTTAGTATTCTAATGAATTGTCAACCACCTGAAATGTTAATTTCGTTTCTCCTCCTGCAAAAATTGAAACGTCAATTACTTCCACCGTTTTCTGCTTATTTTTAATTTTGGGTATCTGGGTTTGAGACTAAGGTTAGGACGTTTATATTGACATTCATCTATATTTAAAGTAGAATTTGACTCAAATTGTACTCCTATATTTAAAAGTGAGACTTCCAATGTCTTGGATATGGATTGCTTCTCATTGTTAAACTTCAGAGGATCATTTTATGTTAATGATGGTTGATCACAACAAAGTTTGCAATTGAATCTGGTCACAGGCTTAAACTTTAATTGTTCTAGCAGAGCAGCAGCTGTTGCACAGCCCAAACACCTGCTTACAATGACGTCTGTTTGCAAGGTAGATCTTTTCCCGTCAACCTGTTCAGGGATGTTATTATAGGTCTCTCTCTAGACCAGGTAGGAATCGAGCCCAGGCTTCCTGGTTCAGAGGTGGGAGGTCTAGGTTGTAGTCCCACCTGTTCCAGAGGTTAGTAATACATCCTTATTTAAAACCACATTGTAGCTTGAACTTTTTATGGAACTTTGCATTAAATATATCTGCACATGGCAATCACATCTTGTCTTAAATTCAAATGTTTATCTTTATCAAATTGGAGTTTGTTTGTTTGTCCACTACTCTGCAGCAAAAATGATCCAAAGTTGTGTATTGTAAGATATTGATGGCATGGTGTTGGAGATGATTTCCTTTCTTTTGGTGTTTGAAGCTTTGTTTGGGTGTCAGCATTAATTTTCTCCATATTGTTCAGCATGTTGGCAAGTTAGAATGTATTTTTTTCTAAACAGAACATGTCCTGTAAGATTTCATTTTGTAGTTGGTTTTTACCTGTGGCCAATGGCTTCTTGACCTGTTTGTGGAACATGAGTTATGGCCTTGTGCTTTTTGGACACATCTGGACTTGACTATGAAGATTGTAATAAATTGGGTTTGCTGGCAGAGCTTGCACTTGTAGCTTTTGCTATTGGAAACTTTTCAATGCTTCACTGAAGAATTTTTGGCATCAATTGCAACCAACTGTAACTGTTCTTGAGGGCAGGTTTGCTGAGTGTTTGAGTAAGAACATACAATGCTGGAAATGGTGCAACAACAATATTATTTCAAAGGTTCTTAGCATTTTAGGTTGTTGGAATGATGCCCTCATTCTTCAACGTGGGCAAGTCAGTTCTGAAGATATCTGTTTATATTAATCTTTTGAACAAGTATTTAGCGTCATTGAAGCTAATTCTGCAAAAGCGTCATATTTTAACACTGTTTCATGTCCATTCTTTGGAATGGGATTGGTCCATGAAGTTTTGACTTTGCAATCCTGGGGTCATACATTATTTTGTGAAGGACTCGTATGTTTTTCTTGAGCCCTTCATGGTCCAAAAATTTTAATGCAAGATTTTCTATTTGGTTTGCCTTCATTGGTTGCTTGAAGCAGCTAATAAAAACCTCTTGTGGTTTAGCATATTCACTCCCCTTTTAGATTCCTAGCCAAGATTATTACTTGCATTTGTGTTACCCCGAATAGTATTTGTGGAAGTCTGGATTCATGTAGCTTATTTATTGCCTCTGCCTGAGGAGGTAGCAGTGTTGTTGAAGCAAATTAAAAGGATTTAATGTAATACATGAAAGAGAAAAAAGTCTTGGAGAGGGTGGTGTGTATGCGGAATGAGCTGGTAGAGGAGAGTACGATTACCCACATGTAAAAGACATTTGGGCATGTACGTGGATAAGAAATGTTTAGAGGGATATGGGCCAAATGCAGGCAAATAGGATGATTTCAGTTTTGGAAAACCGGTCTGCATGGATGAGTTGGCCTGAAGGGCCTGTTTCCGTGCTCTGTGACTGTATATAATCAGTGATAAGTATTTCTTTCATTTTTAAGCACACTCTCTCTCTGTTGGAGAGTCACACAATTTTAATGGCCAGTGCTTTGGCTTCAATTACATGCTAATTTCTACTTCCTCTCCATTTCAGGATGATGGCCTTCAAATCAAACGTTCCCCTTCTTCACCCCAGGGTGGGCCCAAGAAGAGATCAGCTTTTGAAGACCTTACAAATGTAAGTTCTGTGACTAGATTGCTTTCTTTATTATGGTAATACCACCCTTCTGTCAAAACAAATGGGTTTTATACTTCTTATTTCTGGACAATGTTTAACTGATATCTTATCCAAATTTCTTTTCACTGCTAATAGGCTAAACAAGGTCAAGATCTGGTTTCAAAGAAAAAACCTGGGAAGGTCGTGGGTAAGAAAACACAAAAAAGTGTCATTGCACAAGAAACATTGAAAAACGAAGAGAATAATTTAAAAAGGTGAACATCCTCCTCTTTCTGGTTCCACGTTTGAGTTCTGAGTATGTCAGTGCTCACATTTGTACAGCACTGTATGTTGCAATTTCTCTATTTTTCAAGTTACTTTAACTGTAGTGACTAAGGCAAAAGTGGCAGGAAATTTCCTCAAAATTGAAATGAGAGGAGTTATTTTGTTTCTTGGTTGAGGGTTGAATATTTAGCTCGGACAATTTATTTGTGACTTCTCAATCTCCAACTGCTAAATTTGAATACCACTAGGATCCTCCTTTAACACCTTAACCTGATTCACTCAGAATGGTAATAGTGACACTATAATTACAAACTGTTCCAGATTTTTTAAAAAAAAGTAGTGGGACGGTCTCGTAAATTTAATGTTCTTAACTATACACCAATCTTTCATCTATTTGTGCATAAATAATACTTTTGGCTAGTGAATATTTGCAACTTGCCCCTGCAAAAATGTCTGCTGTGAATTGCATTAATTTCATGCAGTACAAATGAGAATTTCATTATGGATTATGTGCAAAAGTACCCTGTTTCATTTGTGAAGGGAAATCAGTGTTAACGTTTCGGGTCTGGTGACCCTTCCTCGGAACTGATGGTAGCTAGGAAAATGTTGGTTAATATGCAGAAGATGGAGTTTGGAGGGGGGAAGTGGGTGGGGGTGGTGGTGGCGGGATGGGAGTGGGGGAAGTGTGGGGGGAGGATGGGGTCAGGAGTAAATGATAGGTGGGGGTAGAGCCAAAAGAGAGGAGAACAGTTAAACAGACAGGAGTGGATAACGATCTCCCTAGGAGGGTGAATAGCTGTTAACGGAGACTGTTAGTTAGTGGCTAACAATAGGTGGTGTGTAATAGCAGACTGTGATAACAAGGCCTAGTGTGTCCTCTTCCAGCTTGCGCTGAGCCTCATTGTCCACCTGGACACCCTGAAGCCCTCCCGATTCAAAATTGAACTCAATAATTTTAGGGCCTAAACTCTCCTATGTCCTAGCCCCCTATGCTACACAGCAGGCCTTATTAACAGCTATTCACTGTCCTAGTCAGATTGTTATCCACTTTTTTTTTTGGTCTGTCTAACTGTTCTCCCCTCTCATTTTATTTTGGGCTCTCTTCCACAGCTATCATTTACTCTTGACCTTGACCCTGACCCTGCTCCTCCGACACATTTCCCACCACCCCCCCGCCCAATTTACAGATGTTGCCAGACCTACTGAGCTTTTCCAGCAATTCCTACTTTTGATTTGCAGCATCCACAGTTCTTTTGGATTTTCATTTCTTCAATTGCATAGCTGAACTTCAGCTCTCTTTTTAAAAAGAGAAGCTAGATCACGTTTTATATTGAATTGCTGATTTAACGAAGATTGGATTTATCAGGATGCTGTTGGAATTGAAGAAGTTTGTAGGGAAACTTTTTCAATACCCATCTGAGGATATAGAACTTGACTTGAGTAATGCTCCTGACAGACTTTATTCATAACACAGTGAATGGCAAATAGTATTAAAGAATCCCATTGCTTTTCTTTCCTATTTCTTCCTTCAGTACAGGACCTAAAGCTTCTCTGGAGCATCAGGACAATGCAGGAGAACAGAAGATGCGTAAGGTGCCAGCACCATCAGAGGAAAAAGCAGCTGATGTAGATAAATCGGCAGACCCCAAGGTAAACAAATTTTTGGAGAATCTGTCAGCAGATTGCCCTGCTCCATCTACAAGTACTTTGATTCAAGCTAAATTTATGTAGTTGTCTACATGACTAGCACAATTATTCTGTACCAGCAGCACCTCAAATAATCAGTGAAAATTTAAAAATAAAATGATATTGGCATGTTAATAACCAGGCTGACAATGTGCAGTGACAGCAGTAAATGGGTTCTTAATCAATTGGGTTGTTTGTTTGGAATAGTGAATTAACCTATGCATACCTGTTCAGTCTCAACATTGGTCATTGTGGACACGGAGTTCAAATGGTCAGTGTAGGGCAATGGATGAGGGGCATGTGTTGACTAAGTTGGCATAGAACTAAAATAACATGGGGCTAAGTAAGAGACATAGATTGCCTTGGAGGGTAAGGTGCCATGAGTTGGTGAGGAAATTAGGTGGCATGGGGAATGTAGGTAGGTGAGGGCTGAAGGGCAAACTTTGTTTTCCCTTTTGTTAACTTGACAAAATGTCAGTCAGTGCACTGAGGCAGGCCTACCTGCCCAACCAACCTTTGGTCTCAGACTCTGCACTGTTTCAGGGATAGGCTACCATGGTTCTCATGCCACCGGCACCACCAACCATCCCTTCCCCAAGGAAAGAGCAATTCAAAGTTCTGGGGCACCTTTCTCTTTATTAGATTTGCTGAGCTATACTTGTTCTGACACTCTTGGGATAGCACCTCTACTCTGTTACTGCCATGTACATTAGCCTGCAATTCTAATTGACAGAAAGCTAGCTTGACTCGATGCATGTCGTTCCAACAAGAATCAAGCTTGATGTCATCCAGGACAAAGTAACCCTCTTAACTAGCACTGCAGCCAAAGACTAAAAGAATCATTCCCTCCACTACTGACAGTGTTAGCAGTGTTTAAAAGGAGCAGCAGAAATTTACCAAGCCTCCTTAGACAACAACTTCCAAACCCCTTGATGTCTACCACATACAAGGACAGCAGAAGCTTGAGCGCTACCTGCAAGTTTCCCTCCATCCTGATTTGCCTCCCAGCAGCTTTGTAGGTGTGACTGCAGCAGTTCAAAAAGGTTACCTACTACCACCTTCTCTGGGTCAGGTCAAGATGGGTACAAATGCTGGCCCTGCCAATGCTACTCACAACTGATGATTACTTACCAAAAGCAGATCATCCATCTGCTTTTTCCCACTCTGCAAAAAGTTCAAAATGGCTCATACCCAGTTTGGAAAATGCCTGTGGATGCAAGATTTTTTGATCAGAATTATTTCTTTGGAAATACGAAGAAAACAAACTGCCTTTAAATTCTATTAAAGGAAAGTTGTATTTTCAAAGGGTTTTGAGACAAAAGATACCTGACAGGATTGCCTCTGGTTTTTTTTAAGGCAATATGACATCCCTGATTTTAGGGAAGTGTATTCTTGTCCATTCAATTTCTTTATGATTTGTAAATACCCTTAACTATTCTATAGCAAACCAGGCCTAGGTTCATCAGATTCCATGTACTGTTCAGCAAATGTTAGGTGATGCTCCTTACTGGTAAATGACGACTGACCTCTGCATAATATGCTGGTGTTGCTGAATGGTACTTTCGAGCTTTCTGGAATAACTAGTAAAAGGAGAACAACTAATTGGAGAAATTCTGTGGTTCTAGTTGCCTGCCTATGATGAAGTTGATGAAGAGAATTTGAAAGACCCATTCCTGAATGCAATCTATGCAAATGATATATTCAACTATATGAAGGAGAGGGAGGTAAGCAAACTATCAATTTTGTAACTTTCCAGCACTTTCCCTAAAAAGCATCATTGGCCTTCGAAACAAGGTGGCTGGGATTGGCTGATTTTGCAATTAGTCTATGTTTAATTCTCTACATTATCTTGTAATTCCATATTTTTATACCCAGTGCTCTGCATTTGCTATCTAACATTGAAGAGCTCTCCTGAAATTGGATATATAAATGATAAAACATACTGTAGCAGTTATATGAAAGTACCGGTGCCACCTGCAAGTTTGCTAGTTATACTAACTAACTTGATCAAAGTAGATCATTTGTTTATAGACCTTCCAAAAACTCTTCAATAAATATTTTAGCTTTGAGATTGTATGTTTGGACTAGTAGCAAATGTGTTTCTCAGATTGTCTAGATTCAGGAAACAGGGAGTAAAATCCAATGTGAGAATGAAATGATATTCTGGAGTTGGTGTATTACTTCAGGACTTGGACATCTAGGTAGATTCAACAGCTTCTGTGATAATAAATTTTTACAAAGTCTGGTTAAAGGGAAGGCTTTGAGGTTCCAACTTTGCAACAGAATCCATGGTCAACCTCATGGGTGTGAATTTGAGGCTTTTTCATAAATTAGAGCTGTAGGTAGAAATTGGGAACAGTTAGAAGCTGAAATTTTCTGTGTTCTTGCAGTTTGACTGGACTTTGATTGGAATTAATAACAAATTAACAAATGGGTTCATTTTATAACAATGTGATTCTTGTCTGGCAGAAACGATTTGTTCTAAAAGGCTATATGGAAAAGCAATCAGACCTGAACATTGAGATGAGGGGAATTTTGGTCGACTGGATGGTCGAGGTACAGGTGAGTAAATACTCCCCTTTCTTTTTAGGCACTTTTGGACTTTTTTTTTTTTTAAAATCTTGTTTTTGTTAATTTTGGTTCAATCCTGCACATGCACACTGTATCATTATGTGCCATTTGTTGGCAAGAGGGCTGTCCGGGTTGTGACCATAACACCACAAGATGTGAGGGTGGCGTTTAGAGGAAAGTCTGAGCAATTCTGTTTTTCTTCCCCAAATCGCCACTCAACCCAAACTCATTGGCTTGCAGGAATGAATGTTTCACCAGTGAATTTCAAACTTCCATTCTACAAGGAAAAGTGAGAAACAAAGGTTCTAATGTTCTAACAACTTTCCTTCAAATTACTTTAATTTCTACACTTCAAAGATAGAACTGGAAAAGTTAAGTTGCTGGTAGAGACTGTGTTATTGGCTTCTATATTAAATATGGAGGTATGCTCAAGGTGCAAATATTTGAAGGTACCTGACAATTTAAGTATGAGTCCAGAAACCAAAAGCCAAATGGTTGGTTTCGACAATATGAAATATTAATTAATGAACCTGAACTTTTAAGTTATCTCCCTTTTAAGGAGCTGAACCATGCCGGTGAGCCAGGCATCTGGATGTAATCACCTGACCAGAACCTGCTGCCATTCTGCAGAGTAGCTCCCTAGACACAGGCTGTGTTTGGAGACTACTACTTTAGCTGTCCATAAGTCCACCAGAGTAAATGGAATTTGCTTACCTAATTCCTGTTATATCCAACAATAACTTCACTAAAGGGCAGATACATTTTTGTAATGTACTAATTAAGTAGTGCAGTGGTAGCATCTCTACCTCTGGGCCAGCAGCTCTGGGTTTGATTCCCATGCCAGGACTTGTTGACTTTGAAAGCTGCTTCTGTAACTGGCCGAACCGATTTGATTCAGCTTGTAAATTCTTCCAATATGCCTGATCTCTTGGTAAGGGTACAGCTTTTTCCAGTCAGCTATCCTGCAGAAGGTGGGGGATAATGTACAGCAGTACATTCTATTTGTTTGTGCTTATGGACAATGGAAGCAAAGATGAGCAGACTAGTACCAAGGTGAATAATTTTGAGGTATCTTATGTTTTCTGAAGGTATAGTTATCTTCCAATGAGAGATTGCTCTCACCAGCTGTCTATTTACAATTTTCTCTCGTAACCCTTTCTTAAAAAAGAGAAGCCAATAAGTATGGTAAGAACAGTGGACCATTTTGGACCTTGACAGCTATTATGCAATTTAATAAGTGTGATTTGTATCTTGAATCTATCTATTCACAAGCCCTCTAGAACCTCATCAAACCTTGTGACCTTCCAAGATTTGTTTCTCCTACATCCTTTTTAAATCATTTCACCATTGGTGGCTTTACGTTCAGCTGTTATCCCTTAATCTCTGGCACTGCCCCCTAAAACTCTACCTCATTCAATTCCTTCAAAGTTTAAATTTTTTTTGGAGTTTTGAAAATGTTCAAATTTCAACAATAAGCCAGGAGAATTTTATTGGCATATGTGTTTTAATGGTGCTGTACAACTACACCTCCAGTTCAGTGTTGTATAACTCCTCTAGATCTAAAAGGCAACATTTCATTTTGGTTTTCCTCAGTAACCTCGTACATTGCTTACACCCCCCCCCAAAGTTTTTTGTATGCACACGTGTGGCTTAACTTTGTCTTTTGGTGTCTTCTATACATAGCTCCATAGGATATGCATTTTTCCTAGCTTTTTACACTACACTGGTATAACCCTGCTATGATTCATTTCTTTTAAAGCCCCCAATACAAATAATAATTTGTTTAATCTATGTATCTTTTATTTTCAAAAGGAAAATTTTGAACTGAATCATGAGACTCTGTACCTAGCAGTGAAGCTAGTGGATCATTACCTGGCAGTGGCAGTGTGTATGAGAGAAACGCTACAACTTCTGGGTTCTACTGCAATCCTCATTGCTGCAAAATTTGATGTAAGCAACCTAATCTGATATTCTTTGACCTCTTCCCTTTTACCCTGTAATGGGTCCTCATGAATTTCATATTAGCTTCTTAAAATAAGTAGCAAATAAGATTGATTGTATTGGTTTTAATTTTCCATAATCTCAGATAATGGAGAAAGTTCATTAATTAGAAAAATAGGAGGTGTAACCCATTCCTTCAGAAAGGAAGGCTGGACAGAAAGCAGGAGACTACAGGTAACTAGCTAAAAATCTGCTCTAGGGAAAATATTTGACACTATTAATAAAGATGCTATCCAGGGCACTTAGTTCATCAGGTAAAATCAACATGGCTTTGTAACGGGAAGTTATGTTCAACCGATTTCACTTGTGTTCTTTTTGAGAAAATGACATGATGTGGATAAACAGAAACTGGTGGATGTATTGTACCTAAACTTCCAGAAGGCATTTGATAAAGTGCCACATCAAAAGTTATTGTGGAAAATGAAAGCTCCTGGTTCAGGTACCTTTTTTTACTACAGATGGAAAATTGTTGTAAGTGAACTAGTATACATTAATGGATAACTTTATGGTTGAGATGTAATAAATGTAGTGAGCCATAAATACCAGTGCTGGGGCCTCAAGTGTTTACTATTTATATTAAATGTCTTGGATGAAGGACTGAATGAATGATAACTAAATTTGCTGTTGGCACAAAGATGGATAGGAGAATAAGTTAAAAGTGGCATAACAGTACCAAAAGGGTATAGATGAGTTCCTTGAGAGGACAATAATCTGGCAATAGAGTATAATTCAGGGCAATTATGAAATTGGCCTCCTTTTAATTCCTCCTGCAAAAAAAAAAATCCTTCATGGTGAAGAGATCTGGGTGTCCCCTTGTTGGGACCACAGAAGGTTAAGATGCAAGTAACAGCAAGTAATTAAGAAAGCTAGTAGAATATTTGTTTGTATTCAATCCCCTCAAAGGTGGGGAGATTATGCTTCAGTTATAATCATGGTGTGGAGGTGCCATGTGTCGGACTGGGGTGGACAAACTCAGAAGTCACATGACACCAGATTATAGTCCAACGGTTCATTTGAAATTGCAAGCTTTGGCAGTGCTGCCACTTTGTCAGGTGAATTGAAGAAAAGCATACAGGCACAGAATTTATAGGCAGAGATCAAAAGATCGTACAAATGTGGAGTGTCGAATAAGAAGTCTGCAGGTGATCAAAAGTGTCAATGTGAATAGTCAAGAGTTGACTAGTAATTGAAGACAATGACCTATAATCAAATTAAGTGAGGCATAGAGATAGTTACAAAAAAAATTTAAATGTAAGGTCAGGCTGGAGACAAACCAAACAGCTGGAATAACATGATAGCTGTAGCTGTTGCATGTCGAGAGTCTAACCAAAGTAACAAGTAATCCAATACTGTACAAAATAAGGTAGATCATAAGTTATCAAATTGCTGGTGATTAAAACAGGGCAATAAGGAAGACTTTTACAAATACAGAAGAGTGTGGTGGGTTACATGTAGCACAACCTGAACCCGCGATCACAATTGGGGCCATCTTCGTGTGAATAGAACTTGGTTATCAGTTTCTGCTGGTGGTGCTGCATTGATGTGTATCTCGAAGGTTGCCTTGGATGGTTAGCTGAAGATTGGAGGCTGAATGTCCTTGACCGTTGGAGTGCACCCCACCCCCGACTGACTGGGAGGGAACATTGCTGTTGTGCGGTGTCCATCTTCCATCGCTGTAGTGTCTGGACAGTCTCGCCAATATACCGTGCCTCAGGGCATCCTTGCCTGCAGCAAGTGAGTTGACAACACTGGCTGAGTCATAAGCATCTGCTGTGTATGTGGTGGGTGGTGTTCCCACATGTCAGATCATCAAAATGGATACTACCTTCACATGTCTTGCAGAGGTTGCTATGGCAGGGTTGTGTGGTGTTGAGGTCAATGTCCTGAAGGCTGGGTAGTTTGCTGTGAATTATGGTCTGTTTAGGGTTTGGTTGTTTGAAGGCAAGAACTAGGGGTTTAGGGATGATCTGGGCAAGATGCTCATTGTCATTGGTGACATGTTGAAGGCTGTGAAGAACAATGTAGTTTCTCTGCTAAAGGGAAGTACTGGATGACAAAAGGTACTCTCAGTCATGTCCTGTGTCTGTCTTCTGAGGAGGTCGTTGTGGTTTTTTGCTGTGGCCTGTTGGAACTGGTGATTAATGAGTTGACCATCTTATGATGGTGTCTTTCAGCATCTTTAGGTGTTCGTATTCCTCCTCATCTGAACAGATCCTGTGTATGTGCAAGGCTTGCCAGTAGGGGATGGCTTCTTTAACATGTCTAGGGTGGAAGCTAAAGAACTGCAGCATTGAGGTTACCCATGAAGTTGTGGTAGAGTAAGGTATTGAGGTATCTGTCCTTGATAGAGATGTGTGTCCAAAAAATGAGACTGATTCTGAAGAGTAGTCCATGGCAAGTCTGGTGGGATGAAACTTGTTATTTTGCAGTTGTTTCAGTGATTCCTCCCTATAAGTCACTAGAGGAAGAAAATGTTGTCTATGTATCTGGTATGCAGCATTGGTTTGAAGTCCTGTGCAGCAAAGAAGTCTTGTTTGAACTTCTGCATGAAAATGTTGGCATATTGGGGTGCAAATTTGGTACCCATGGCTACTCCATGGGTCTGGATGGAGAACTGGTTGTCGAAGGTGAAGACTTTGTTGTGGTCGAGGGAGGAAGCCGATGAGTTGTAGGATGGTGTCTGGAAACTGGCAGTTGTTGGTATTGAGGACTGAAGCTATTGCAGCGATGCTGTCATGGGATGCTAAAACATCCATTGTGACAAGGAATGTTCCTGGTCCGTAGGTGCTGAGTTTCCATAAAAGAATCTGTAGTGTTGCAACAGAAGCTGGCTGTTCCTTGTACACTGGGTTTCAAGGTGCTTTTGACATAGCCAGAGAGGTTCTGACACAAGGTCCCATTTCTAAATGTTGGCTTTGTGTATCTTTTGGAAGGCAGTAGAAGATTCTTTGGCGAGAAGTACACCAAGATGAGAATGCATAGGATGCTCTGAGGAGCTGGATTAGATGTCTTGATCAGTCTGAGTTGATGGGTGCATTCTTTGGTCGGATTGGCAGGTAGTTGTCTGTAGTGTTCCTGGCTGTTTGTGATCCACCATGTGCGTGACAGGCATGCATGAACTTAGCCAATGTTGCCTACCTCATATGCTGCAGGCAAGATGCCATGAGCCGTGGTATATTGGCAAGACCATGCAGACAATATGACAACAGCTGAATGGAGATTGCAATGTTTGCTGACAGCAATGTTCCCTCCCAGTAAGGGAGCACTTCAGGAGTCCAGGATGTTCAGCCTGTGATCTTCAAGTAAGCGTGCTCCAACACAGCTTTCAAGATGCACAACAATGTAGAATTGCCGAGCAGAAACTGAGCCAAGTTCTGAGCATGTGAAAATGGCCTCAACAGTGATCTTGGGTTCATGTCATTCTACATAACCCTACCACACTTCTGCTTCTGTAAAATCGTCCTTACTGTCCTGTTTTGACACCATTACCTTGATAAATTGGTTTCTCCACCTTTAGTTTGTACAGTTTTGGATTACTAGTTACTTTGGTTAGATCCTCAGCATGTGACTGTTTTACCTACCAGTTGTTCCAGCCATTTGCTTTGTCTCCAGCACCAACTTTACTTTTAATTTTTTTTGTAATATCTCTGTCTCATTTGATTCAATTATAGGTCATCCTCTTCACTTTCAATCAGCTTTTGACACTTCTTTTTTGATCACCTGCAGAGACTTGTTGTTTGACACTCCATTCACACCATTTTGATATCTCCGCCCATAAATTCTGTGCCTGTATGCTTTTCTTCCCTTCACCTGATGAAGGGGCAGCACTCAAAGCTTGATTTCAAATAAACCTGTTGGACTCTAATCTAGTGTCGTGTGACTTTTGACCTTCAGTTATATAGAACACTAAGAACACATCTAGAGTATTTATATACTGTACTAGTCACCAAGGACCAATTAAATGCCTTCAGAGATGGCTTACGAGACTAATACTTGGAATAAGTGGGATGTTGTATTTTTAAAAAAAAGGCTAAGTATGTATTGGCTGGAGTTCAGCCACAGGAGAGGATCTGATTGAAATGTACAAGATCCTGAAGGGCCTTGACAAGGTGGATATGGAACTGTTCCTTCACTGTTCCTTCTTCTGGAAGAATCTAGAACTGAGGTCTGACTAATTAAGACAGTGGAGGCTATTCTTTCCACGGGATTATGGGTCTTTGGAACACCCTTCCTCAATATGGTGGAAGTAGAGTCTTTGAATGTCCAGTAATAGATGACTTTTTATCCTTTTTTTTTTTTTTTGTTCTTTAATCTGAGGGATAGGTGGGATTGTGAAGTAATTAAATCAGTCATGTTCTTGAATAGCAGAGCAGGCTTAGACTACTTCTGCTCCTAACTTTTATGTTCATATAAAGCTGAGCTCATGTAAATGCTACTTGTATCCTAACTTGTACCAAGTCCTTCTCACTTATCACAACTCCATATCCTCATACCTATCTCCTAACTTGTCCAGCTTTACAATGTTTTACAAGTCTCCAATACTGGCTTTTGTACATGCTTCACTTTTTCTTCATCTGCCATTTGTCACCTATGCCTTCGACTGTTTAGGTCTTAAGAACTGGAATACGTCTCTAATATTTTCCTGCCTACTCTTTTAGACACTTTAAATCCTAACGTCAGTTTATTTAGCTCTATCAATTTTTCTGTTTGTGCTCCAATGAATTGATATAAGTCTTATATTAAATCTTGGATAAGAAATAGAAACTGGAGTAGGACATTCCCCTCATCTGTTCTACTATTCTATAAGATAGTAGCTGATCTGCTATAGGCCTTTTTTTTTGTGCCAGCTCCTCTGTCTTCAACACCTTCAAAACTCTACAGAGTCCCTCTTTAATACTTTGTTATCCAGCTCCTACAAGTGAGGTTGAGAATCAGACATTCATGACTTTTTTTTTGATAGAAGAAATTACTTTGCAAAATGCATATGCATGATGTTCCCTTTTATTGTAACTGCATCCAGTAGTTTGAGATTCTTCCCACTAGTGGAAACATGTCAGCATCTAATCTGTCAAAGCTTCCTAAAATCTTGTTTGAGTAAGATCACACCTCATTCTTAATCCTAATGGATAAAGACCTAACCTGATTAGCAGTTCTTGATGAGCCAACCCTTTCATTTCCAGGAATCAGCCTAATTAATCACTTTTAAACTGCCTCCATTTTTAGTATATCTTCTAAATGCAAGGACCAAAAACGACACCTACTTCAAGTGCAGCCTCACAGATGTCCTGTACAATTGTAACAAGTTGTCTGTTTTGAAATTTAACCCCCTGGCAATATGAGTCGTAATTGTTTGTCTCCAGTTACTTGCTGCACTGGCATGTAAACCTTCTTGTCAGGCAAAAGACAGCCAGGTATGAGATATGCAGTTTTCTTTTTGAGACCCTGGCTACTTAGATATTGGTTTGTTGTTATTTCTTTTTCCCTACCTAACTACATGACCTCAACTTTCTTAAAAATCCTCCATCTGAGGATTTTTTGCCCTGTACAGCTCAATTATCTAATATTCCATTGTAGATTCCTTCATCATCCTCATGTTGCCTGCCTCCACCTACCGCACCCCCCACACACCTTTTATATCAGTAAGTGTGGAAATGTTGCACTCTGTCCCCTCCAAGTTATTAATATAGATGGTAAACAGTTGAGGCCCTAGGACTGATGCTTGTGGCATTGCACTAGATGTATCTCTCCAAACGTTTAAGTATAAAAGTCAATTAGGTATCGTTCTGCCTTGTGTGTAAACCAATCCTTAATCCATGCTAATACATTATCCCCAATTCCATGAGCTCCTATCCTGTGCAGTAACCTTTTGGTGGCACCTTTTTTTTTTTTTTTTAATTTTTATTGAATGCTTTCTGGAAATCCAAATACTACATCTACTGGTTCACCTTATTTCTCTTCGTTATATCCTTCAAGAATGCTAGCAAATTTGTCAAACACTTTCCCCCTTGAAGCCAATTCGTCCAGATCCTCCCAAGAGCCTTGCACTCATTTTAGTTACTTTTTTTCTCCATATCTGTAGAAGTCTTGCTATTTGTTTTGTGTATTTCTTGCCCATTTTCACTGGTTTTTAATCATCAACTCCTTCCTTTCTTAAAAATCATCTCCTCTGATCCACCATGTTTTTTTGCCACTTAGTTTCTGACTGGGACCTCTCCTTGGCTATCTTTTGTTCGTGACTTGTGGTTTGTCCTTCTCGGATTCCTTTTTTGACAGGACATTTTTGCTGAGCATTGCAAAAACTGCTTGTATGTCTGCCACTGTTCAGCTACTGACCTTTCAACTTGGTGCTTTAGATAACTTTTTTTTTTCCTCCTTCTGCAATTCTGCTTTAATTTGAAGACCCTGGTTTGAGACTTGAGTTGCTGTCCCTCCCTGTGAAATTCTACCACGTTGTGATCGTCTGCTAGAGGATCTGTCAATGATCAGCTATCTCATTAGCTCTAGCAGTGTACAATGAGATAGACGTAAAGTATCCTGTTACTGAGTAAGTTGTACAACGTTGCTAAGAGACAAACCCTGATGCACTCTATAAATTGTATTCCATGTTCCCTTTTTGCTCACCTGATTTATGTTCAGTTAATGTGCAGATTGAAATCACTCCAGACCATTGAAGTGCCCTCCTTACACACTACTAATTTCTTCTTGTCTTTTTTTAATATACCGCATCCTTCAGTGAAGTAACACTTTTTTTGTAGATGACTCTCCTAAGGCCCCCCCAGTCTCATTCCACCCATATCTTCTTTCCATTTCTATTCCTTATTTACACCCGAGCTGATTTTTGCATCACAATCCTATCACTACTCACCACCACAATGATACCATCCTCTTTGTTAACAAAGCTACCCCACCTTTCCCTTTTTATCTATTCTTACGGAACATTCAAAAGTTATTCAATGTTTACTTCCAAGACCTGGTGTCCCCCCGCAACAGTGTCTGTGACAGCTATTGAGTTGTCCATTTCTACTTGCACCATTAACTTGCCTATCTTGTTACAAACACTGTATGCATCTGCTTATAATTGCTATCTCTTCCCATTGTATTCGATTATCATTTGCTTTCTACTTTTTTACAACTTTGCTTTACTGTTTCTTTTTGAAGTTTTTTTAAACTTCCCTTTAATTCAACTCTTTCTCCCACTCTGCCACTAATTATTATTAATCCCTATCTATAATCCTCATTTATACAGCTCACCAGGACACTGATCCCAGCATGGTTCAAATGAAGTCCTTGCCAACTAAATCTTTCCCAAGTTTTGGATTTTATGTATTTCAAAAGTGAATTTTCTATTACTTTTTGGCTTTAATATTATTGTTTTGATTTAAACCACTTGGCTAATCAAAGGTAAATATTGCTTCCATATTTCATATCACCTACCTGGTTTCCAGTGTTGTCACACTTGGGTTCAAACAAGTTAATGTAAGTCAAAGGGGTGCTCTCACTGGATTTTAGCTCCTTCTCTTGAGTAGGTCCCTTTCCCAACCTACTTCATAATGATGCTGACCTGCTGCATACTCCTCCCAGTCACTTGCTTATGCTTGAATGAACAGTATTGGTATGAAGGAGAAGTTGGCTGATCTAGGCTGCAGTCTCCAGTTGCAAAAAGGCCATTATAAAAATATTCACTGAGTAACTTTTTGGTCAACATACTCATGTTGACAGTGTTCAATTAAAAAGTAACTGTCTGAATCCTGATCTACTGGATCATGGGTATGATGTCTGAGCTGCTGCTGGTGCAGGGACCAATGTTAAGAAAGTAGCTTCTTGCCTTCAGTGTGGATTGGATTGATACATATTTATCATTTCCAGGAGCGCTGTCCTCCCTGTGTGGATGATTTCTTGTACATTTGTGATGATGCATATCAAAGGGAGGAACTGCTTTCAATGGAGGTGAACATTCTCCGAACCCTGAAGTTTGATATCAATATTCCCGTGGCGTATCGATTCTTGAGAAGATATGCAAAGGTTGGTAACTTTGTTTGGAATTTTCCTATTGTTTCCTGAATATACTAATTTGACCCTAAACAGAGTTTGGTTTGCTGCCCTTCTGATTATACTTGTATTGCGACCATGTCCAAATGAGTGGCCTTCCCCCTCCTATTTGCTCAGTTAATCACTGAGACCATAAGAACATCTGTGGTATGGTGCCATCTGCTGAGGTTTAAAGATGACACAGACTATTGGAGTAGTGAGTGAATGCAGACAAGTGATTTTTTTTTTTTTTTTTTTTTTTTTTTGGCTCTCAATGGGTGTTCACAGAATATTAAAGCACCATAATATGCAGTATTTATCAGCTCAAAACACTAAAATTGTTACCTTATGTCTTTCCCACCCCCTCCAAAAGGTGTGTGGAACTGTGCTGGGAAATTGTTTTTGAGTAAAATTTGAACAATGCCATCATTGGCAAATATTCTCTGCTGTATGTATTAATATTTGAAGTGTCTTGAAGTCTACATAAAAATGGAAATATAGTCTCAAGTGTCCAACTTGAAAGGGTGGCATGGTAGTACCTCACAGCACCAGAGATCTGGGTTTGATTATAACCTCTGTCTGTGTGGAGTTGGTACACAGTCGCCATTCTCCCAGTGTCTGTGGGTTTCTGCTGGGTGTTTAGGCTCTCTCCCACCATCTAAGGATGTGCAGGTTAGGTGAACTGGCCAAGGTATAAATTGCCACATAATGTCCAGGGATGTGTCGGCTAGGTGAATTAGCCATGGTAAATGTGGGGTTACGGGGTCTTGAATGGGATGCTCTCTGAAGAGTTGGTGCACACCCGATGGGTCGAATAGTTTCTGTCTGTACTATAAAAGATTCAATGATTATACAAAACATAGACGTTGCTGAGACAGATGTTGATTTTGACGTAACCAATGTTGACACACTTCAGCGTTGTGAAGGACTGCTTGGGCACTCCCTTACTGTTTGTATTAAAACTGAAAAATGTTGCATTCATTATGAGGAGGAAAAATAGATTGAAGTGCTGAGTGTTGGAGGTGGATAGGTAACCGACTAGCATGTCAGCATTTTGATAGTACAGTTAGAGTTCTCTTTTTCTTTTTCCATGTTTTGGAAACGTCACTTCAGTTTTTCTGAGCAGTCTTGAGATTAATCTGCCTGAATCTTATCTCCATCTCAATGTTTACAGTGTGCTAGAGCCAACCTCGAGACATTGACGCTTGCTCGTTATATCTGTGAGTTGACCCTGCAGGAATATGAGTTTATCTGGGAGAGTGCTTCTAAATTAGCAGCATCCTGCCTGCTGCTGGCCCTAAAGATGAAAGAGCTTGGAGGATGGGTGAGTATAAACTGTGAGTTAGACAGTATAGACTGTCTTCTCCACCTCTATCCTTTTTTTGTTTTAATCTTTCTTTTTGGTTTGACAACACAGTTCTGTTTCCGGCTTCTCAATCGCTGCTCTGAAGCAGCTACTGCAACAAGGGCAGGAAACGGATTTGTATTTTTATATTATACTATACTGTATTATTTCCACCCCAGAAATAGTGCATAAGTGGTGGGTCAGGGAGAGTTGACGTTGTGCTGCTGGAGGCACAATATATTAGTGCTGTGACATACTGTGCCCTCCATGTTATTTAAAGTAATCAGAAAATCTGATTTGAGGATAGGATTAGCTTATTAATTTGTTTTAGAAGACCTATAGTATTTTAAAATAGTAGTGAAATAGGCAATCCAGCTCATTACATCCTCTTCTATTTTAGACTCCAACTCTGGAACATTACACTGGATATCACATCACTGACTTGCACTCACTGGTGAGGAGACTAAACCTTTTACTTTACAGTAAGCCGGATGAAAAGTTGAAGGCTGTGCGGTACAAGTACGCTCACAAGTAAGAACTTGTATATCTGGCAACCTTTTCATGAAACCACATTTAAGGTAGATAGTGGACATGGCACACCATACCTAGTTAGGTATGGTCTCAGAGCATGTTGGGAAAACCCTAGAAAGTGCAGTGGAGTTTTTGATTTTTGAAATTTCATAGCAGCAAGTGAGCTATTTAATCTTTTGAGCCTATTTCACCATTCAGTTAGACCGTGGCTGATGTACCTCTATTTTTCCTTTGATCTCTAATCAGTTTCTTTAACAAGAATTATGCACCTCTGTCTTGAAAATTTCATTGATTCCAGTTCCAGGCATATTCCTGGGGAGTGATTTGAGACCGTAAGATGTAGGAGTAGGAGTCAGCTGTCCAGCTCATCGGTCTGCTCTATCATTCAGTTAGACCATGGCTGATCTGAGAATCCTCAACCCCACTTTCCTCCCTTTTTCCTCCATAAGCTCTTGATTCCCTACTAATCAAATATGACTTTCTCAGCCTTGAATATACATAATAACCCAGTGTCTACAGCCCACTGTGGTAAAGAATACCAATGATTCACAACCCTCTAAAGAAATTCCTCATTTCTGCTCTAACTGGGTGAGGAGATCATGCCTCTGGTCCTAGACTCTCCCATGAGGTGAAAAATCCCCTCAGTGTTTACTCTGTCAAGCTCCTTCAGAACCCTATATATCTCAATGAGATCACCCCTCATTCTTCTAAATTCCAGTCCGTAGAGTCCTAAACTGACTAGCCTTTGCGAATTTCCAGCCTCTGCAGTTCTTTGTTCATTTCCCTAAGAACCTTGTTTATTTCAGTTGCCTTTCATTCTCCTTCAATCTCAGTACAGGCCCAACTTACTGTCTCTTGTTATAAGACCTAGGATTTTGTCATAACACCTGGGACCTCTGTGTACCTGGGATCAACAGTGAATCCGCTCTGGACTATCTCCAATGCTATATCTTTCCTTGCATCAGGGGACCAAAACTGTTCCAGGTGTGGTGTAACTACTGTGTGCTATAATCTTAGCAAGACTTCCCTATTTCTACACTCCAACCTTTTTGAAATGTGGGCCAATGTTCACAAAAAGAGAGGCAAATTGATTTTAGGCACAAGGATCCCAAATCCCTCTATTGTAACTTCCTGCAGTCTTTCTCTATTTAAATAATCATCAGCTCCTCTACCTTCTACCTTCTTGCCTTGCATGACTTCACATTTTCCCACATGTTCCATCTGCCAAGTTTTTGTCCATTCACTGAAACTGTATCTCTGCAAACTCTCTGGGTCATACTTGTCTTCCCACCTATTTTTGGCCATGCACAAACTTTGCTATAATATTCACTTTCCTCATCGGTTTTTCATGTATATTGTAAATAATTATGGCCTCCATCCTTGCTTCCTGATTTAACTCCTGAATGGCCTCTAAGTTTGTGTGCCCCTTTGACTGATCACCATTGCTAAAGTAAGTTTTTGAATTACTACTTCATTACTATAGGAAGGATGTTGAGAAACTAGAAAGGGTTCAGAAAAGACTTACAAGGATGTTGCCTGGGATTGGAGGGTTTGAGCTACAAGGAGAGGCTGAATAGTCTGGGGTTATTTTCCCTGGAGCATCGAAGGCAGAGGGTGACCGTTAGAAGTTTATAAAATCATGAAGTATGGATAGGATAAATAGACAAGGTCTTTTCCCTGGGGTGGGGGAGTCCAAAACTAGAGGGCATAGGTTTAAGATGAGAGGGGAAAAATTTAAAAGGACATAAGAGGCAAGCTTTTCGGGTGGTGGTGTGTGTATGGAATGAGCTGCCAGACGAAGTGGTAGAGGCTTGTACAATTACAACATTTAAAAGGCATCTGGATAGGTATATTAATATGAAGGGTTTAGTGATATGGGCCAAATGCTGGCAAATGGACTAGAATAATTAAGGACATCTGGTTAGCATGGATGAGTAGGACCAAAGGATCTGTTTCTGTGCTGTATATCTGACTGACTCTTTGAAACTGAATAATGCCTCCCTACTTTTGTAGTCAAGGGAAGAGGAGCCAAGTTTATGAAAATTGACCTTGATTTAGCCTATTAATCCCCAGGATAATTCTGGTGACTGAACTACCATCTTTCTGGGGATGTGTGACTGGCATGTTCAGCATCTGTTGCTCCTCTCTAATGGTCAATCTTCCTGAGATGCTGCAGCACTACAATGATTGTGGAACTCATTGCCACAGAAAGCTGTGCAGGCCAAGTTATTGAAGATTCTTGATTAGTAAGGGGGTCAAAAGTTGTGGGGATGTATAAGAATGGCATTAAGAAAGGCAACATCAATGACTGAATATTGGTGCAGACTTGATAGACTGACTGTACTTCTCATATCTTCTAGTCTTATGATTACAGTACTCTACATAGGATCTGACCTGAGGCTTTGTACTAGAACATGAAGTGTGGGTAGGATCAAAGCCTACTATTCAATACAATCACTGGCTGATCTTGGGCTTCAAACACCGTTTTCTTCCCATTTCCCATAAGCCTTGATTCTAAGACCAAAAATCTTGAAGCCTAAAAATTCTCAGTTCTTTGAATGAAACAATTTTCTGATCTCCTCAATAATTATCCCCTTATCTTGAGACATTACCTCAAGTTTTAGATTTGCTGACGAGCAAACATGATCTCTGAAGCACAACTTCCTCACTTTTGAACTGTAGCTTCCTTAAGACCGGTCAACATACCATACAGCCTTTTAGATTGCTATCTTGCACCTGTCTGTGAGCTTTTAATAACTTAATTGGCTTTCTTTGACAGGTTCTAATTTCTCATCATTTGGGGAATTTAAAAATCCCTTCATCTCTTGTTCTGTTTATTAATTGCCATTTAAGAATGGTCACTTGGTTGCAGCAGCAGATACCCTTGCAGTAATCTGCACAGATGGTGGGTTTTGGTCTGCAATAAATTAGATCTGATTACAAATGTGATCTTGAGTCCTGTGAAGAAAAAGCTGGTTGTGTCTAAATTGTAACCAAACCAACAATTGAAGATATTCCTAATTCAGTTCTTTATTCTCCTGTATTCATTTCCTTATACGCTTACACTTGTCCTTGAGGAATTTGTCTCTTTTAATTGTTTTAGGGTATTCTTTGAAGTAGCAAAAATTCCACCTATCGATGTTCTGAAGTTAGAAGACCAGTTGAAGGAGGACACATGATCAAATGAAATCCAGACAGTCTGGGAAAGTGGTGTTGTATCATCTGTAGTCATAAAGCTGATCTCGTGTATATAGTGTATAAATACTTGTGTAATATTGCTTTACTTCTACCTCTGCTAAGCAGAAACAATTGTGTAATTAATCATAATTGTCACTTTTATTATGTAACAAACAAATTCAAAGTACCTGAATACCAAAATAACTAAGAGAAGGAAAGAGGCTGATCAGATCAAAACAGCAAGTTCAACAGTTTTTTCCCTCCTCCAATTTAAAACTTTGAATATAGTGTAAATGACAATTAGCTGTTGGCCTGTGAAAAACATGGCACAGCCTGTCTTTTTTTTTTTATTTCCCACAAAGATGTTAATATTAAATAGTCACAATATATTAGACATTTTGATTTCTTAAACTTCAAGTTTAAAAAAGTAACTTCTTAACATTGTAGATTAAAGATAACTATTTAAAAAATATTGTTTTATTGAAAGAATTAAGGTACTGAGTGTCCTGCTCTTAACAACATATGATGTTCTGTTCCTCTACTGTGTGAGTGAAATTGTTCCTTTCTTTGAACTGAAAGTAAATTTTCACTTTACTTGCACCCCCCCACCCCAATTCCCTCCCAAGAAAAAGTTATTGTAGATTGGGGAAAGATGCAAGAACCACGAGGCAATCTACTCTGCAATTCTTATGAAGCTGCAAGCAAGTACTGCAGAGTGTCACGCTAAAAGGATAACCTTTAAACTCTTCACGTCTATTTTCCCTTCACCTTACAATTGACTGTGTCTTTATTGGTGCTTGATCTGATCCACAAATTTCACCCTGCTGGGGAAAAAAAGCATGCAACTGACTTTGTTTGCAATCAAACTATTTGAAAATTAGTGCACAATATTCAAATCACCTAGTTTTAGCTGAGAAGAATGTAATACACTTGCTCAGCAGAAAAACAGTTTGTTAATCTTTGATCTCTAATGTTGGTAAATTGTAAACTTTAAAGTTGGCCTCTTTTAATTAAAAACAATATTTTTAGGTTTGTTTCAGGGACCACTTATTGATGTAGATCATTGTTTTCAAGTGCAAAATATTTGTGTTTCTGTTTAATTGTACCATTTTGTGATGTTTGACCTGTTAATATTATCTTTGACACTATTTAAGCTATGCTTTGGAAGCTCTGTCATTTTTATATTCTTGTATGTTGTATTTGCTTTTCAGCAAATAGTATGTTTCATGTGAAAAAAAGTATATAAATATGTTTGGATATCTCTGATCATGCTTTCAGCATTTCTTATTTAAGGGCTGTATTTCATTCCTGCAAGTATGCCTAAGATGCATTATTTTAATGTTGGTCTTTTTTAAAGGTGATCATTCTGTCACTCCTTAATGATTTCTGATGATGTGACTAGCACTGGGTTCCTTGATCTCAAATCCATAATAATCTAAGTGTTCTTGAACCAAATACAAAAGTAGATACTTTGACCTTTAATTCAGATTTGGATTTTTCTGGTTCCTGTTTCGCAAGAGACATTAATGCTAATTGAATAGCTTGAAGGTTTTGATGCCAGGAGTTGCCATGCAGGAAAATCAGACCAAGTGTTGTGCAGCTAGATTTTGAACAAAATTCCCTCTGTAAATAACTGTATTTGGTGCAAATAATATATACAGCATTATCACCTACTCGTTGACCAAACTCTCAATTTACTTAACATGAGTGACTGGCCCTATAGTCATACTTTGAAGTCCTACTGCTTTGAGCAGAGTTGGTGGTTGTAGCTTGAATTTTATTGACTTAGAATACTTGTGATCAGTGCTTAAGTTTGCCATCAAGCTCGAGAACCTGTTAAAATTCTGGAATTTTAATTTGATGTGGATTGCATATATTTGGGTAGATTTTCACATCCTATGTGGATTGGGAAACCTAGTTATTGACAGAATTGGTTTTACAGCATGGTTGTGGGCTAAAAAGCCTCTTTCCATGTTGATTATCAACCACAGGTACTTCAGTCCCATTAGCTGGCACCTGGCCTGGATTCTTAAATGCACTAGTCCTTTAAACTCATCTAAATACTTGTGGTGGTTCCTACCTGTACTGCTGTTTTGGAAATACATTTCAGCTACCCATTGTCCTCCAGTTTTTTTTGTTTGGGAGTGGTGGAAACCTTCCAAAAATTCTCTTTAAATACCTTTCCCTTACCTTTTTTCAAATTTGTGCTCCTAGTTATTAATCCTTCTACTAAACAGATGTTTTTCTCTGATGCCCCTCATTAATGTTGTACATCTCAACCACAGCCAATCTATTCCTATAGCTAGAACATTCTAGCCCTAGTGATGAAAGTACACGCTTTCTATAATGTAGTGACCAAAACTGCACATTACTCCAGTTGTGGGCTAACTAATTTCTTAAATCTGCATTGTAACGTCTCTGCTCTTTTGTTTTTGATGCCTTGACTAATTAAAGGCAACTATCCCATATGCTGTCTTAACCACCTGTCTTACTATTGTCAAAGACATGCACACCCCTCTGATCCTCTATATTTCCTGGGGTCTTAACTTTTATCATGTACTTCCTTACCTCCTAGTCCTCCTAAAATGCATCCCCTCACTTTTTGGGATTAAATTCCATTTGCTATTGTTCTGCCCATCTGACCATCCTGTCTAAACCATCCTGTAGTCTTAAGGTTTTCTTTGTTATTGACCACACCAACAACTTTTTTAATAAGTGTGAACTTACTGATCAATACTCGATCAATCAATACTCGATCAATCAATGCTCCCATTGTCTGGCAGGTTGTTGCCTCTGTATTTATAATTGTTCCTTGATCTTCACTTTTGAGTTTGTCAGACTTGAGACTTGTCAAAATAGTAAGTGTTAGCTCTTCAATCACTTTTGTGTCTCAGTATGGAAGTGCTGTGGGTTAAGCATGCAAATAATGGTCACTTACTATTCCAAAGCTATGTAAAGTATGCTTTGGTATTTTTCTGGTGTCCTTGGCCCCAAACACCTTCAATCCACTGCAGTCATGATGGACCAAATGCAGCCTTTTTCTGCTGCTTTGATTCAATTATCATAAATACAATCCTATTGGTACGGTTTAGCCTTTTGTAGTTGTCACAGTAATTTTCCAAAATCAAGATAGGAAAACTCCTATTCAAAATGTGGGTAACTATAGGCCAATTGTCATACCACCTATTGGAAAAGTATTGGAATCAATTGTTGGTTGATTTTTGAATTTTTATCACCTATATCTAAGTACAGTGCAAGCTTTGTTTACAAGTAGATCATAGGGTGGAAAATGGACTTGGACAAAGTAAAGCATTAGGTTGCATTGTGTGCTGGGCTGATCATAAGATCAGCAGTATTTGAAGTTCCAGAGTCCATTCGTCAGTCTAATAACAGCAGGGAAGAAGCTGTCCTTGAACCTATGTGTTCAGACTTCTGCATCTTCTGCCTGATTGAAGTTGTAGGAGAGCTTTAGCAGGGTGGGATAGGCCTTTGCTGGCAGTCTTTCTGCAGCAAAGAGATGTGTAAATAGAGTCCATGGATGGGAGGTTGGCTTCTGTGATGGTCCAGGCTGTGCGCACAATCTTCTGTAGTTTCTTACAGTCCTGGGCAGAGCAGTTGCCATACCAGGTTGTTATGCAGCTGGATTATGCTTTCTGATGCATCTGTAAAAGTTGGTGAGGAACCTTCTGGACATGCCAAATTTCCTGAGCCGCCTGAGGAAGAAGTGTTGTCCTGACCACTGCATCTACGTGGTAAGTCCAGGACATGTGGTCAGTTATCGTCACTCCTAGGAACTTGATGCTGTCAATCCCCTCAAACTCTGCTCTGTTGATGTAGACGGATGTGTATTAAGGAGATGATAGCAGAACATTTAGAAAATCGCTATTTAATCAAGCAGAAACAGCATGGTTTCAGACTCGTGTCTGACTAATTTACTAGGTTTGTTTTTGAGCTCTTGACCAGAGGGGAACCAGTAGATGTGTTGTATTTGGACTTCCTGAAGGCATTTGAAAAAGTACTTCAAAAGGTGGTCAGTAAATAAGAGTCAATAGTGTTGTAGGCAGTATATTGGCATGGATAGAGAATTGGCTTATTGACAGGACAGAGCAAGTAGGAATAAGGAGCTCTTTTCCAGGTTGGTGAGCTGTGGCCAGTGAGGTTCTGCAGGGATCAGTGCTGGGATGCAACTGTTTATGATATTTATTAATGACTTGGAGGAAGGAAGTGAACGTATTGTAGCCAAATTTGTAGAAAATACAAAAATAGTTTACAGTTTACAGATATACTGATAGGTTAAGTGAAAGGGCAAAAAGTTGGTATATGCAGTATAATATAGGAAAATATGAAGTTGTTCATTTTGGGAGAGAAAACAAAGGAACAACAACAAAAAAAAAACTGCATCAAGCTTCAACAAAAAGGGACTTGGGGTACTTGGCAATGAAACACTGAAAACAGTGCAACAGGCAATCGGGAATGCTTATGAAACGTTGGCCCTTATTTCGAGGGGATAGAGTATAAGAGTAGGGAAGTATTACTGCAACTGTACAAGGTGCTGATGAGACCATAGCAGGAGTACTGTGAGCAATTTTGGTCCCCTTATTTAAGGAAAGATATAACTTCTTTGGAGGCGGTTCAGAGAAAGTTCATTGGGATGATCCTTGCTATAGAGGAATTGCCTTGTATGCAAAGGCCAAACAGTTTAGGACTCTACTCATTGATTTAGAAGAATGAGAGGTGATCTCATAGAACAAATTGGATTCTCGAGGGACTTGACAGGTAAATACTGAGAGGATGTTTTCCCTTAAGGGAAAGTCTAGGACTAGGGGGCATAGTCTCAAATAAAGGGTTGTGGATTTAAGACTGAGATGAGGAATTTCTTCTCTGAGGTTTCAGTTTTTGGAACTCCTTGTCAAAGCTGTGAAGTCAGAGCCCTGGTCTATAAACTAAGGCTGAGATAGATTCTTAATCAGCCAGGAAATCAAGGTTTATGAGGAAGGGTCCGGAAAGTGAATGGGAGGAATTTTGGATCAGCCATGTTCCTATCAAATCAGAGCAGGCTTAAAGGGCTGAATGGCTGACTCCTGCTCCTATTTCTTATGGTGTTATGGAAGCATGGTAAATAAAAGTCCAGTCATGTTGATCAATTGAATCCATCAAACAACAACATAATATGATAGGTAGATAAATTGAAGAAGCTGGGTCCTTCTCCTTTTAAAGTGAAGGTTGAAAGGTGATTTGAAAGAGGTGCTCAAAATCAAGGTGCCCAACTAGCTTCAGAGATGCTGGAGAATTTGAGAATACAAGGTGTAGAGCTGGATGAACACAGCAGGCCAAGCAGCATCAGAGGAGCAGGAAGGCTGACGTTTTGGGCCTAGACCCTTCTTTAGAAACCAACTAGCTGTTCTTTGAATAGGTCCTTAACTGATTGCCAGAGTGAGGGATGCCACATCGCATCAGGCATGGCTAACTGGGGATGCGACCATTTTATCACCTGCCATCAGCACACTGGATTAAAGATTTGGCTACATTGAAAATGCATCAACTGGAATGGGACTTGAACTTGGAGCCTCGGGCTCGGAAGCAGGTCTGCTGCCCACAGTGCTACACTACCTCTTTTAAAAGGGTGGATAAGGACAGAAGAGAATTGCCTCAAGAGCCATGTTTTAAAGTGATTAGCAAAAATGTCAGAGGCAATGAGGAAAGCATTTTTTTGACTCCGTGAATGATTGAGATCCAGATTACTACTGGAGAGTGTGTTGGAGTCAGATTTTATTGTAGCTTTTAAAAGGGAAGTGGATAAGCACCAGGTGAAATACGATGTTGGATTTTGGGGCGAAGGAGTGCGTGGTGGGAGGACTTGGCATCTTTCTGTGCACCAGGATTTTGGGGGAATTGTCTGCCCAGTGGGAGGAGATGGTACCTTTCTATGCTGCAGGTTTTTGGGGAGAAAGGCAGGGTCCAGTCTATCCGTGTGCTTTAGCACTCTGTGGAGAATGGGCTGAAGCAGCATCTGGAAGGCAAAAGAGATTGAAATTGCTGGAGAAACTGAGGATCTGCAGAGACGAAGCAGAGTTAATGTTTCGAGTCCAGTGATTCTTCAGAGCCAGACCTGAACCATGAATTCTGCTATGTCTACACAGATGCTACCAGACCTGCCGGTAGGTAGGGTTTCTCCAACAATTTCAGTCTTGGGTTTCAAATTTCCCGCATCATCCTCCTCATTTCGAGATTTGAATTCTGATTGGCTGCCAAGACCTAAGTGTTTTGACTGGTTATGAGTGGGCATGCGCAAAGGGAACAGTGGTGCTGATGGGGCATGCGTGCTAGGGCCCGGGTAGTGCCCATGCGCGGAGTTGGCAGGCGGCGGTATCCTCCCCCTTATTCCAGGGATGAGGGGCTCTGTATCCAGGCAGGCCGCGTTCCTGTCGTCTCTCGGCTCTTGGCGGCCCTGGCTGGCCCCTGGCAACGGGCGGGTCCTTGGCTACCTCCTGGCCCCGGATCGCCCCGCTCTTACTCCTTGGTCTGCCCGTGTTCCTTCTAGCCGCCGTTCGGGCCCTTCCCTCATCACCACCCCCATCTTCTATGTGAATGCGACTCCCCACATCGGCCACCTGTACTCGGCGGTGCTGGCGGACGCCTTGTACCGCTCCAGGATTTTACGCGGACATGAAGTCAAGTTTGCAACAGGTACGGGGAAGCAGCAGCAGCTCGTTAGCCGGTGAACTGAGCCGACAGGGTCCAGCTCCAACATCCAGATTATTGGACGGTGGATGCTGACACAGTTTTATATTCAGAGTTTCCACATTTTTTAGTTTTTAATTCCTACTCATTTGGCGGGTAAAACATTGCGTGTAAGTTTCCCAAAAGTTTTGTAGCAATTTAGTTTGTACATAAAACTTCACCGAGCTAATCGCAGGGTTGATACCAAAACGTAACTTTTTCTCTGCTACCCGATGATTGGAACAAATTGGGAGGTTACCGTTGCAGTGCTGAAAAATTTTACGAGAATCTTCCAGTACACTCGGATGATTAGTCGCAGAGAGAATGGCATTCGGCAGCCGATGACATCCGATACTTTGTGCAAACAGGTTCACATTAATTATCATTCTGTTAGAATAGTTTCTTAATGTACTGTTGCGTTAGATGTATGCCTGTGAATGTGAAGATTCAGGTACTAGGAAATATTTTAAACCAAAAGATATTGTACAAAATTGCACTGTATGATGAATTCTCTTCCTGATTGAGCATGCCTCGAAACAGTGCTGAACCCACCTGATGGCTTCATATTAAATTGTGCCATTAAAATACCAGTTCAGATTTTTAAAATTCATTCATTGAAGGGGCATAGGCATTTGCTGCTTAGGCTAGCATTTATTACCCGTCCATAATTAATCTTGAGAAGGTGTGGTGAGCTGTAGTCTTGAATTGCTGCAGTCCTTATGTAGGGAGAGAGTTCCAGAATTTTAATTCAATGGTACTGAAGGGATGGTGTGTGGCTTGGAACTGAACTGACAGGTAGTGATATTTACATGTGTCTGCTGCTCTTGTACTAGATGTTGGATACCATTGGTTTGGCATGTGTTGTCAGATGAATTGGTATCAGCAATACTGTGTTCCTTCCAGGATGTGTATTTGCAGTTCTTTTCAATAGACTCAATGCTGAAATCACCAGCTGGTTCTGGAGTAAAGACAGTTTTAAATGTTAGCATCAGAAAATATTCTTGACCTGTAATTGAAAATTATTGATAAACTATCCCTCTGGGTCTGAAGAATTAATTTTACATGTGGAATCTTATTAACAGGAATAGGATCAAAAAGGGTAGTGGAGAAACAGATCAGCAGCTGTGCTGGTATTTATGCTGCATTCAAACCCCCTCCCATCTTTTCTGAACTGAACCAACCGAGATAACCAGCTATTTCTTTCTCTCTTATATTGTTGTCTAGTTTCTCATTGAATATAAGCTATTCCCAGACCCTCTGGCAGTGAGACCCACAATATTACCACTCTTTGGGTGAAGTTTTTTTTCTGAATTCTCTTTGATTTCTTGCTGGCTATCCTGTAGTAGTGGCCTTTTTCCACAGACTAGACTTTCTTTCTATCTACTGTATCAAGACTTTTCACTTTTAATGACCACTACTAGACCAACCCTTAGCTTTTTATCACAAGAGAAAAGATGCCCACCCAGTCAATACTTTCCAGAGACTTCTATCCATGCATTTCTGGTATCATTCTTGTAAACATTCTCTGCACCCTCTCCAAGGTCTCCAAATCCTGTGTATAGTATAGAGACCAGAACTGCATGCAATACCCTTTTAAAGTGTGGTCTAACAGAAATTTGATGCAGGTTTAGCATAACTTCCATACTTTTTTTACCTATGTCCTCTTGAAATAAAACCTCATGCTTGGTTTGTTTATAACTTTGCCAATGTATGTTGTACCTTTTAGTGATTGATGTTATTTGTATTCCCAGATCAAACTGTTCCTCTATCCCACATTGACTTTTTCTGATTGTTCTTATCTCTCTCCCTTAATCTCCTCTATATTTCCAAACTATAATTTTGCATGACTTAAACTGTAATTTATATTTTCTGTTTTGTTGGTTTTGGGGACAGTGTTTCAGTGAAGATGCTTTGAGCTCATTGAGCCTTCCCATTGCTTGCTTCGTTATTGGATCTCAGTAGAGGGTGCTGCACTTAAACAGAGAAGTCTGGGAAATTGGAGATGCTGCTGAAAAGCCTGCAAAAAGTCTGTTGGAAGTTGTAACGAAGGTGACCAGCTAAACCAATTATTTTATCACTGACATCAAATTCTGGGCAGTTATGTATTCTGATGTTGATAGCTACACTATACAATACTAAGTAGAAAAGTCAGGTAGTCTTGTATATCATCACTTTACAATTTATTTCAGGGACAGATGAGCATGGCCTGAAGATTCAACAAGCTGCAGATGCTACAGCTGAAGCCCCATTGGAATTCTGTTCCAGAGTGTCCAAGGAGTTCAGGATGTTGTTCCAACAATCCCTAGTTTCATACACCGATTACATTCGAACCACAGAAGAACGTCACAAAAATGCTGTCCAACATTTTTGGTGTGTCTTGCGTGAGAAAGGGTACCTCTACCAAGGGACGTATGAGGGATGGTATTCTGTTCCAGATGAGACATTCCTGTCTGATTCACAAGTTGTGGAAAGAAAAGACTCTGATGGGAATATTATTAAAGTATCTTTGGAAAGTGGACATAAGGTAAATGTATGGGAAAGACTTCCTAACAATATCATACAAGTTCAAATCTGATCAGTACTCTCTCTGATAGGAGCATTATTTGGGATCAGCACACTGGGATAGATTTGAACGGATAGGAGCAATATCTTTGGCTATTCAGTGCGTTGCTGTGTGCAGATCAGCACTTTCTGTCTGTAGAATGTTGTTTTTTTTTATTTCTGTAATGCTTTAAGTGACATTAATGAGCTTGCTGACGAATAAACCTTCCTTCTGCCCTGCCCCAAAAATGCACCTTAGTCTAATCTTGAAAGATCATGCTGCTGCGTCAGTATATTGTTGTTATTCTATTTGTAATCTTTGTGTGCTCTGAACGTGAAAAGAAATTTTGTCATTGGGTGTCAGTTGCATTTATAGAGGTGACTTTTTCATCTATGCAAATATACCTTAGTCTGTCCACAAGGAGCACTTACTCTATTTAATCAAAAGCATAAAATCCAATAGCTGGGGAAAATTGAAGCTGTTTCTCATCTTTTGAAATAAGTCTGTTCTAAACTGTGTTTCTAATCTACAGGTAGAATGGACTAAAGAAAAAAATTACGTGTTCAGGCTGTCTAAGTTCAGACCAATGTTGTTAGATTGGCTGAAGGAGAATCCACATGCAATATATCCTGAAAAATTTTATCACATTGTTGTCCATTGGCTCCAGGAAGAAATTCCAGACTTATCAGTGTCCCGACAGAGGAACCGTTTGAAGTGGGGCATCCCAGTTCCTGGAGATTCAACACAAACAATTTATGTATGGCTAGATGCCTTAGTTAATTACCTTACTGTAGCAGGTTATCCAAAGGATCACAATCATTTGTGGCCTAGAGTACATCACATTGTTGGGAAAGATATTCTTAAGTTCCATGCTATATATTGGCCAGCTTTCCTGATGGCAGCTGGTCTGCAATTGCCAAAGCAAATATGTGTACATTCGCATTGGACAGTCAACGGCCAGAAGATGTCCAAAAGCCTTGGGAATGTTGTTGATCCCATGCAACGATTTTCTGTATACACTGCTGATGGCTTCAGATATTTTTTGCTGCGGCAAGGTGTGCCAGAAACAGACTGTGACTATTATGATGATAAAGTGCTTAAGGTTCTAAATGCAGAGCTTGCAGATGCATTGGGAGGCCTCCTTAACCGGTGTACAGGCACACGCATGAATCCTGAGCAAATCTACTCTTATTTTTCAAACCACTGTTTTCCTAAAATACCACACGTAGGTAATTCAAGCAGAGCAACAACTGAGGATTACAAAATGATCCAACTGGTTGAACAACTACCTTTGGAAGTTGAACATTGCTTTGAAAAGTTTCAAATTTATAAAGCTCTGGAAGCTATCAGTTTTTGCATTCGGTTAACCAATGGCTTTTTCCAACGGCATGCTCCCTGGAAACTTGACCAAAAAAGCACTGAAGATTGTTGCTGGTTGGATACAATACTTCATGTCACTTTGGAGTGCTTACGCATTTATGGAACCCTTTTGCAGCCAGTGATCCCAACAATTGCTGACAGATTACTTTCAAGGTTGGCTGTTGGACCGCAGGAACGAAATTGGAGACAATTGAACTTCTTGGCCAAATATCATGATAACATCTGCCTTTTTGAGGGAAGAAAATTGGGGCCTGATACAGGACTCCTGTTTAACAGATTAGAAAGGACTGATAAAACACAAAGCAAAGATCAAGGCAATTGGAAAACGAAGAAAATGCAACATATTCTAAAATGAATTTGAACCACTAAATTTTATCCACATGTTGCTAACATCCTAATCATACTGCAGATATGTTGTCAGTGGTAGTGCTTTCAATGTTATAATACAATAATGTTAATATAAAATACTGTTTACATCCAATGACAATTGAGTTTCTCAAGTCTTATAGATTTATAAAATCATTAGCTTTCCTAGAATATTTACAGCCAAGAGGGCAGCCTTTTTCGCCTAGTGTATCCATGTGAACACTCCACAAGAGCAATTCAGCTAGTTCCACTTTCCTGCCTTTTACTTGTAGCACTGCAGATTTTTTTTCTCCAAATAATCCCCCTTTAGAAACCCATGGTAGAATTTGCCTCCACTACACTTTCATGCTATGCATTCCAGACCCTAAATGCTCACTGCGTTGTATTTTAGAGAGATTTTTCCTTGTGGTGCCTTTAGAACTTACGCTTTTCACTTTACATTAGTGTGCTCTGGTTCATGTGCTTCTTCTGGTGGCAACAGTTTCTCCCTATCCACTCTATCTGGACAACTCATGATTTTTGAACACCTCTGTCAGATCTCCCCACAATCGTCTCAGAACAGCAAACACAGCTCTTCCCTCTGTGCACATTGTAGAAGTTCCTTATCCTGGAATAATTCTTGCAAATCTTTACTGCAGTTTCTCTAATGCTATTTTATTCTTCCTGGATTGTAATGCCCTGAATTGAACAAATTGCTCCAATAGAAGCCAAATCTGTCTTTTATTCTGTATGTCTGATCAACTAGTGAGCTCTGACATTGTACTGCCTTTCTGTCTTCTAGGGGATGTACCTTGTCTAAAAACAAATCATCTCCTGCTCAAAGGCATTCCTGTTGTTCCATTATAGTTTTTATCTGTTTATAACTTTTTATCTCGGCAAGATTTGCTCTTGTTAAAGTTGAGCCTCTTCCAATTAATGATTTTTGTTCAGATTTGCTGCTGCTCCTTTTCAATAACTAACCTAAAACAGTGGTACTGTGCTCCTCAACGTTTTTGTACTACTACTAAACTCAGTGCTCTAGAACCGAATCTAGCAATGTCTTCTCCCTTGTTAAACAAACAGCATACTGCTTCAAAAATACAAGCTCGTTACTGAAACTCCTTTCCTTCGTCTTCTCCTTGTGTGACTACTATCAGGACAATTGTACAGATTTTGCATTTCTTTGTAACTTGCTTGCAAATTTAATGCTGTCTATCTTTCTCACAAATAAAGCAGCACAATGGCTCAATAGCATTGCTGGCTCACAGCGCCAGGGATCGAGGTTCGATTCCAGTCTCAGGCGACTGTCTATGTGGAGTTTGCACATTCTCCCTGTGTCTGTGTGGGTTTCCTCTAAGTGCACCCACAGTCCAAAGATGTGCAGGTTAGGTGGAGTGACCGTTCTAAATTGCCCATAGTTTCCAGGGATATGCAGGTTGGATGGATTAGCCTTGGGAAATGTGGGGATACACGGCTGGGTGGGCTGCTCTTCAGAGGATCATTGTAGACTCAATGGGCCGAATGGCCTGCTTCCCCTCTGTATGGATTCTATGAAGTTGGTGGGTTATAGAATACAGCCTGTAGTATGAAGATCTGTTATTTCTTAGTTCTACCTAAATTAATTCTGTTCTTGGTCACTCCAAGACATCCTCTTACTATCCAGCATACGTTTTGTTTTTAACACAGCCATCCATCCAGCATATTTTCACCCTTTATTCTTGAACACTTTGTATCAGGGAGTACTTAATACCCAGTTCTGTCCATTTTTGAGGCAGTAATCCATTGTCATAATATTGCTGACACAATGGCAATCTGAGACTGCAGCTTACCAAACCCATTTACCACGCTTGTATTCACAAGTATCATAAACCCAGTTTGGAAGGATTCTTGTGGCACAGTAGTAGTGCGTTAACCTCTAAGCCAGAAGGCAGGGGGTCAAACCCCACCTGCTCCACCTGTACATCATGCCATCCCTGAACAAGTTGATTAGAAAATATAAATCTAATTTAGATCTTTCTCCAATCTGTCTAACTTTGCTTAATTCCAGTTATTACTTTATTGCCATCTATCTTGGCCAGCTCTTTATGCAACTTGTTTTTCCTCTGAAATAACCTCTTGGTTTTCATCATCATCTGCCAAGTTGTTTAAAACACTTAGTCACATATCTGATCACGTGTAATATGTCTAGCTTGTACAGATACCATCTTTCCGCAGAATTGTTGTCAATGATTTTATTGGTCTGTCTGTTAGTTCTCCTCTTAATACTCTAAAATTTGCCTATAGGGCCTAACTCTTCTTTCTATGCTATTTGTTACTGACATAGACCATGTTTGCTGACTTTGCCTCATGAGTGTTTTGCAGCTGCTCAGTGCCTTCATCAATCCTGGCATCAAGGAAGCAACAGACCTATCTTAGATCAATGTCAATGGCTGCAGATATCTGTCCCCTGACTAGAGAATCCCGTAACTATATTATTTTCCCAAATTTTCTTCTGCCACTGCACAGTTGAGAGACCTATAAAGTTGGTCCTTGTTACACTCCTCAAAGCAACCATCAGATACTACTAAGAAACAAATGCTGCTTTGACTGAAATGTGCTCTGGACTTTACTAACTGCTGTGTTCTTTGATTGGGAATGGATGACCAGGAGGCAATCTGCCCACACAACTGAAGGAATTATGCAAACACATCTAGACACTTGGTATGCACAAAGCACTCGGCCTTGTAGATGTACCACCACTGATGTCGTCTGTTGTGCTTTGTGCATTAGATATACAAATGAGCATAATTTCAGCTACCACTCAAGTTTGGAAACTTGGTGTTAGATCCATTCATGCTGACGATATTTCCTGCATTGGTAGATGTTCAGGGTAAGAAAAACGTACTGAGTTCCCAAATAAATCAAAACATGAACTTTTTAGACCCCAGATGCCTTGCCATGCCGATTTTAAGTATTTTAACAGAAATAACTTAATGTTTTAATAAATAAATACCAACTACTCTTCAATCAACTGCTTCTCTTATACTGTTGTCACTTTATTTATAGTAGGTTCACTGATCCTAAATCTTTGCCAAAATGGCTTTGTGAGGTGAATGAATAGGTCTGTGTTGACACATCTTTACCATTTCAGGAGCTGTTACAATGTCAGTGCAGTACAATCGTTTCTACAATAAGACCCTACTTGTACTTATGTGTTGATAATAACTTTAAATTATATGAAGTCAATTTTATTTCATTAACTTCGCTTTTAATTTCTGGATAGTTTTTAAGATTGTCAAGCTAAGTTATTGTATTCATTGTTCTGGTACACTGCCATGCCAGTCCACCAGATCTTTCCTACAAAAAAAGACTCATTGCATTATTTATTTTTCTTCTGTTCTCCTCCGGCATTATCTGAGGGTTGCAAGGCACTGTTTAGAGTGCGCTATTTGTCCCTCTTTTCCCACTCCGATTGGAAACCAAGTGAATGCTAGGATCAAACCTGCATTCTTCCCCTACTGTGGAATCTTAGCTGTGGTGATACCCTAATATGGTCATCATTTAGCAGCAATTTAGCTTGTCACAGTAAGCAAGGTTGAATCAAATCAAGCAATCAGTCATTGTTTACACTAATACTTGATGTGCAAATTGCATTTCTAGAACTGGTGAGAAATGGCTGAACTTTTACCTCAACTCCACCTTCCTGTACTATTCCTGTATCCCTCAATTTTCTAATTCAGGATGCATAATGCTAAATTCCTAAAACTGAAACTAGTGAACTTACTTACGTGGTTTTGCATAACCAAGACAACCAGCATTTTGTGCAATGGACTCACTGTGCTTTCATGCCATGCATCCAGTTGACCTAGATTAAGGGTGCAGGTTGTCCTATGTCGTGATAATTTGTAATTATTAGGAAGCAGCGTTAATTTATTGTTGAAAAAATGGAGGAATAGAACTGCATCTGATGCTGTATTTGAGTCCTCTTTCAGAATTCACTTAGACGTTTATCATCATGCTTGTTCCATGTTTATCTTTTTTGCTTCTCCAGAATTAACACCCATACTTTTGGATGTTTTAGATCAATTTTACTGCACTAGATGGCAGTAGTTCACAAATCAATGGCTGGAGTTCTGAAAATGATTATCCTTAAATGCAGTGTAAATTTACGATTACCGTAGTCTGTGTTTGCTTCACACAAATAAAGATCATCTGTATATTAAAAGAAACATTTATGTGCTGTATTGGACAGATTTTTTTGTACCTGTGATCAAGCTAAATGGATCAACAGAGATTGTAGTAAGAGATTAAAGTAGCAAATTTAAAGTTGGGATAATAATGGAGGACTATCATATATCCTGTACCTTCACATGACTTGAATCAATACTTGGTTTGAAAACTAATTGGATTATAAAGTGTAACAGAGGAAAATATTGGCTTCTGCTGCCAGTAATGGAGTATCGGATACTTGTTGTCTTTGAGTTATACGTTACATCACCAGTCATGGTTGTAAGAAATGTCTACACAGTTAAACTTCCTTCCAAGCAAAAATTGCAATTTGCAGAAAGCCTGGGAAAACGATTGGAACAGATAAACAAAAAATACCAAATAAAATGGTTCTGGTATATTGTCACACTATCACAGACATTCCCGTTGTGTTCTCTTGTGTTTTCAAGTTCATTTCTGGCCACAACTTGCTTAAAAGCTGGTACATTTCTAACATTTTTGGGTTCTGATGAAAGATCATTGACCTGAAATGTTAATTGTTTCTTTCTGTGCAAGTGCTGCCTGATCTGCAGAGTATTGTTCACAATTTTAGATAGTTTAGATTTTATTTCATAAGCTTCCTTAGAGGCATGCACTGTGTAAATTTACTATAACTGACTCTCAGAAATTAACAACTTGGTTAACAAAACAACAATCTGCCTTTATTATTTGAAGAACAACACAATAAGAAAATATTATCTTATTTGTTTTTCCAGACCTCAGTCCTGTTTCCAACCAAACAGTGATTCGAGCAATTTTCACTACCTACACTTGAAAGGCTGTGCTTTATTCTGACAGTCTTCCATCCCACCAGCTTCCCACTTGGGTTCAACACCTTCATTTCTGTCATCTTTCTGATTAAAATTGTTCTGATAGCCTCAGCCTTACCTTAAAATAACCTGATTGGTTGATAGCGCAGTCTCCTTACAATCCTTCAAAAGCTATTAAGCTTATTTTTGGAAGTCATGATAGAAGAAGGGTATAATCTGGGGTTATTAAATAATAGGTTGGAACCTTTTGGCATTTTCCAATTACATTTAAGGGTTCAGAGAGGGTTTTTTCATACTGGTGTTCCTTGAATTGCCTGTGCCTTTTTAAAATTTTGTCCCTCCTTTGAGATGGGGCAGAGTAGGTCATAGAGTCCTACAGCATGTGGACAGGCCCTTCTGCCCAAACTAGAACAAGCCGACCAAACTGTCCATCCACGCGAACTCAATTTCCCTGGGAAAATAATACAGTTATGGGATCTCTAGTCAGGGGATAGATATCTGCAGCCATTGACATTGATCTAAGATAGGCTGTTGCTTCCTTGATGCCAGGATTAATGAAGGCACTGAGCAGCTGCAAAACACTCATGAGGCAAAGCCAGCAAACATGGTCTATGTCAGTAACAAATAGCATAGACAAAGAAAAATTAGGTCCGATAGGCAAATTTTAGGGTATTAAGAGGAGAACTAACAGAGCCATAAAATCATTGGGATCAATTCTGAGGAAAGATGTTATCTGTACAAGCTAGACATAGTCGCATATCTGACCCTGTGTAATAAGTGTTTTAAACAAGTTACCAAGTCTTCATGTCTTCTCCATGCTAAACACAGAGGAGAAATATTCATTGAGGACCTCACCCATCTCCTGCAGTTCCACACATACATGTCCAGGTATTCAGGAATATTATACCCAAATGAAATGATTATATATAGGTCTGATTACTTTTCCCATTCAGAGCATGAAAAATAGTATGTGCAATATTACTGCCAACATGCTTTCATATGACAAGCTGACATAGATTGAACATTGAATGTCAGCATAAAGGGTTGATGGTTGTCATATGTGTTCATGCACATTGTGAAATGCTTTAAAATGTGCCCTTGACTGTGATTTAATGCTGTGAAATTATATTGTTGGATATACGCTATGGGTTTCTTATAACCAATATCGAGAAAGTAAACTAAAAATAAAGTGCTGGAGACACCCAGCTAGGTCAGTCAGTATCTGCGAAGACAGGTTAGTACCTTCAATCCAATGTCTGTTTCTTAGAAGCAGTTTCACAGATGCCTCTTGATTTTCTTTTTGATGTTGCTAGCATTTCTGTTCTTATTTCAGATTTCCAGCACATACGTTCTTCTTGATAGCAAAAATTTAGTTTTAGTACCTCCACTGCATCATACAGGAATCATTGGTGCACTGCAAAATAACCATATACTATTTGTGGAAAGCAGTATTTTAAGGTTGTGGTTCTCTGTGTAGGCACTACATTGCCATTATAACACACTTCAAGGAAGTTGAAGCTCTCAAGGGTGACTGATTACGGTAAAGACTTTACTGCCTTATGCTGTACTAATTACTAGTGGTCTAGATGGGGTGGTGGGGTGGCAAGGTGGCTCTGGTTAGCACTGCTGCCTCTCAGCACCAGGGACCTGCGTTCAATGCCACTCTTGGGCAACTGTCTGTGTGGAGTTTGCACATTCTCCCCGTGTCTGTGTGGGTTTCCTCCCACTGTCCAAAGATGTGCAGGCTAGGTGGATTGGTCATGCTAAATTCCCCATAGTGTTCAGGGATGTGTACATTGGGGGGATGGGTCTGGGTGGGAGGCTCCAAGAGTCGTTGTGGACTTGTTGGGCTGGAGGTCCTGTTTCCACACTGTAGGGAGTCTAAGTCAAATAAGAAATGCATGAGGTGAACTATGGAGTGGTGCAATTTATTCAATTATCTGTTCTTGTAAGTATGTTATTTAGGGGATGGCTTGTTGGTCGAGGGGTACGATCCTCACTTAGAGTACTGTACAGGGTGGATATGCAAGAGGTCCTGGCTTCAACTCCCAGACGAGCCTAGGTTTCTTGCTTCACTTAGTGAATAGTACAGTGACTAAGTGTTTAGCATTGCTGCTTCACAGCACCAGGGACCTGGGTTCAATTCCAGCCTTGGCTGAGTGCAGACTTGATGGGCTGAATGGCCTTTTTCTGTATTGTAGGGATTCAGTGATTCTAAAACCATTTGCACCAAATAACATGCCTGGCACGGTGGCTCAGTGGTTAGTACTGCTGCTTCATAGCACCAGGGACCTGGGTTCAATTCCACCACCAGGTGACTGCATGGAGTTTGCACATTCTCCCTGTCTCTGGGTGCTCTGGTTTCCTCCCACAGTCTAAAGATGTATAGGTGAGGTGGATTGGCCATGCTAAATTGCCCATAGTGTTCAGGGATGTGGAGCTTAGGTGAGTTATGGGGGATGGGTTGGTGTGGACTTGTTTGGGCTGAAGGGCCTGTTTCCACACTGTAGGGATTCTATGGTCATAATTATGTTTTTAACATCCCTGTTATCTTTCACCTGGAAGTGAAACCAATCTCCAGACCTTTGTGGAATTTCTCAGTCTGACAACTGTGAAACTATATTTGGTTAGCTGTTTGATAGGGAGCCTTATGCAATTTTCAGTTGCTGACCTTGCCACATGTTTGCTTTCTCTCCTTCCCCCTATTTAAAATAAAGTTCCAAAAACAATGCAAAACTTATAAAAATAGCAATTACTGCCCCAGGAAAGTGAGTAAATCCAGCTGAGCACTGAAATAACCTCAAAACAAAGAGCAACTCTCATAGCCACTGTCCTCTCCTGTCCACCTTTTTTCTTTGCGGTTTTGTTTTATTCCTAACTCCGCCACAGCAGTGATTCTCTGCTTAGTTTGAAAATAAAACTCCAGTCTCCCAACCTACCTCGATCCCCTACAATTTGCCTACCGACACAAAAGGTCCACAGAGGATGCCACATCCCTAACCCTGCACTCATCCCTGGAACATCTGGACAACGAAGACACCTATGTCAGACTCCTGCTCATTGACTACAGCTCCGCCTTCATTATCCCATCCAGGCTGATCTCAAAACTGTGTGACCTTGGTCTCAGCACCGCCCTCTGCATGGATCCTCAGCTTTCTGATCCACAGGCCGCAATCAGTGAGGATAAGTAACTGCTCCTCCTCCACAATAACACTCAACACTAGAGCCACCCAAAGATGCATCCTCAGCCCCCAACTGTACTCCATGTACACCTACGACTGTGTTGCCAAATTCTGCATGTCCGCCATCCACAAGATCACTGATGACACCACCATAGTGGGACAGATGTCTAACAATGACGAGTCAAAATCCAGAAAGGAGATAGAGGGCTTGGTGATGTGGTACAATGAAAACAATTTGCCCCTCAATGTCACCAAAACTAAAGAACTGATCATCATCTTCAGAAAAAAAGTAGAACATGCCCCCATCTATGTCAACGGAACTGAGGTTGAGAGAGTGAAGAGCATCAAGTTCCTCGGAGTGATGATAACTGATGACCTGTCTGGACTTCCCATGTAAATGCGAAAGTCAAGAAGGCACAACAATGCCTCTTCTTCCTCAGGCGGCTCAGGAAATTTGACGTGTTCATAATGTCCCTCACCAACTTCTACAGGTGCACCATTGATAGCATACTGTCTGGGTGCATAACAGCCTAGTATGGCAACTGCTCTGCCCAGGACTATAACAAACTACAGAAGGTGGTGTGCCCAGTCCAGATCATCACGGAAGCCAACCTTCCATCCATGGACTCTATTTACATAGCTCGCTGCAGCGGAAGGACATCCAATGCCCCGGTAATGACCTACTACAACCTCTTCCGTCAGGCCGAAGATACAGAAACCTGAACACACGAATGAGCAGGTTCATGAACAACCTCTTTCCAGCCGTTATCAGACTGTTAAATGGATTCTAACCTCAAATAATATAACCTGGAATGTAACCTGTATGCCTGTAAGACGTTTTGATCTGTACGTCCTTTGCTTGCTGTGATCTGTCTGTTCCACTCAAATAAAGCTTTTCACTATATTTCGGTACACATGACAATCAATCAATCAATAGCCCTAACACTACGTGATTAATTTACATTTCAATATCTTATCTGAATACAGTTTTCTTTTAGTATAGTAGTTGACAGTGATAGTAGCAGTGCTGTGTAGTCTTTGCCGGCCATAAGCCCTCCCTTTTTCTTAGCACTACTTTAGTGCACAGATCCAAGTATCATTGCTCTTTAAAAAATGCTAGAAATAATTAGCAGGACAGCAGGACAATATCCACAAAGAAAGAATTGTCATTGTTCTCTATTAACTCTCTATCTGATTAATTCTATTTTCCCTTCCCGTGCGAATATTTCATATTTTCTGTT